CCGCCAGCAGTGCCCCGCGCCGCGCGCCGCCCATGACCACCCGGCAGCCCGCACCCGCCGCCGCGTTTATGTGCCCGCCAAGGAGGCGGCCCGGSCCCGCCCCGGTCCTGCTCCCAGCCCCCGTCCTGGCCTCGGTCGCGGGCGCCCCCGTGCGGCGGGAGCAGCCGAGCGCTCCCCGCGCGCCGGGCGCGAAGGAGAGCGAACGGAACAAGAACCGGGGCCCTAGAGGAGCCGGCCGTGTCGTCCCTTGAAAACCTGCCTCTTCACAGCGGATGGGACTGCGGCGTTTCGGAGCAGAACTGCTGCAACTCCCAGCAACTCGCAGCAGCCGAGGGGAACAAGACGCACGCCCTGAAGTCAACCCTAGGCACCCTCGGGAGCAGCAGGTAGTATTTCTGCCCCAGCTGAGCAGGTGACATCTTTAGAGCACTCTTATTAGCGCCCCACTCAGTTACATCGCATAAAAAAAAAAAAAAAAAAAAAAAAAAAAAAAAAAGACAGCACTTGTCAGTGAGAGGATTAGAATTGGGGTGATCATAATACATGGCTGGGTAAGTAACAACAACAGAGATCACTGGAGCTGAAAAGCAGAGGAACTGATTAGTTCATTATGAAATATTTTGATCTGGTTGTAAAAGGAAAATGGATCACACAGTGTTTCAACCTCTTTTAGGGGCTCTGGCTTTCCAGTGTTTATTCTCTATCACATAGTCATCCAGGGCATCCATGGACAAAATCGCTTGGAAGGAGCTCGTTGAATAGCTTATTTTCCATCTGAAAGCAGGTAGTAGGGTTATTATGTAAGGCTCAAGAACTGTGCTTTAGGGCTCAGTGATGGCATGTGTCACTGACTAAAGCATATTCATACAGGATTACCCAGGGTCATGGGACCACAGCTCCCGTAGGAAAAACTGCATTTATGAAGGTGAAGCAACATCTAATGTCACTGGGTAAGAACAACATTTATGTCGATGACACGCCTACTCTTGCTTCCTTTCTGCTGCGGAAGAGGAAGGATAGATAGATGTGTGTGTAAGGATTAAAGAGATCATACATGGATATGAATCAGTTTTAAACCAGAACTGGGCTTGACGACCCAAGCTTTTCTGAAAGCACAAGAGAGTTTAGATCTGGTGATCCAAGTTGCAAAACTGAACCAGAAAACACAGTTTGTATAAAGGCAGTTATGGAAGGAGAAAGCTTCATCTGCTGGGACACTTAGATACATTTGTGATTCTTTGATCTTGGAGAGACCTATGAGCTCCCTTCCTATTAGAGCCTTACACCACTAAAACAGAAACATCAAGACTCGAGTGGCTGTTTTGGGGCCTGCTGGTAGTTATGAACTCAACATTAAACCATGCACACAGAATATAACAACTCTTTCAGTTGTCTTCACTTGTTATCCTCAAGGAATTACCTACAAATTCACTGGTTTTAGTTTAGCATGGAGTGTCTACCTGGGCAAGCAAAATGGTTTCCAATAGTCAGTCATTGCAGGCACTTTTCTATTTTCTCTATGGGAGAAGACATAGAGAAGCTACTATAGGATGTTTCCATTGTACCGTTTAGGTAGAAGTATCCAAATAGAATTCCTAAGTTTTCATTAGCCTAGCACTTACCATCTTTGATCTGCTTGTTGCATCTTCGTATCTATCAAAAATATAGCAAAATAGCTATGCTTACTAAATACACAGCATTTTAGTTATTTCGGTTTCAGTAGTCAGATCTATTGTTGGATCCTTGACTTGTTTGCTCAATATCCACGCCCATTAGCATGGCAATTTAGGCAAGTTAAGAGACCCAGTGATGAAACAGACTTGAATGGAAAGTTTTATTACAATCTTAGGAAAAAAAAAATTCTACATCTTTTAAAATTTATCTGAAAATGGGGAGGAAAAAAAGTACATTGTATGAAACTCAGACTTCTAGATGTAAAAAAGATACAGTTCCTGAAGGAATGCCAACCTTTGGATGACACTGGGATTAATAGCAGATGTGGCTACTTGCACTGCCCTTCCCCACGTTAATTTCTCCTTCCGCTGTAAGGTTGGTGTCAGAGGCAGCTTGGAAATAAAACCAGTAGAACCAGAGTTCATACACAGTTTGCTGGAGAAGAGCAGAAATACTACGTTGCCTTCCCGCCTGCCTCTCCACCCCAGTCACACATCTTCCATTTTCCAGCTGAGATCCAATGGTTTGCCAATAATATAAACCTCCACCATCTTCCTTTCCTTTTAGTTTATTTTCCTTGCTCAGGGGGAGTATGTGCAGATGCAACTTTTGCCATGAAGAGGATTTGATAAGACTCCTTAATGTCGCCTTTTAATGTCAGTAGGGTTGTCACAATCAGAGGGCCATCTGCCTTAAAAAAAAAAAAAAAAAAAAAGTGTTCACAGGTGTTGTGATAAGTACAGTTGTAGTGGCTACGTGTTCTCTCCAGAGTGAGACAGACAGTGTCACCAGGTTACAACCGTTAACAACCGGGTACGGCGTGACACAGCATGTTGCAGCGGAAGTCAGGGTAGAAAAGAAAGAAATAGCAAAGAAATGGCCTGTTAGCCATGAGTTAATGTAAAATCTTGTGTAACCACCAGTTCTGCTTACAAGAGGCACTGAGTCAATCTCATATGTCATCCCAGAAACAGTAGTGCCTTCTGCACATGATGACAAAAGCCTTTTAATTTTGGAACAAGCCACTCATTCTGCCATCCCACATATAGCTCAAGACAAAGTGTGGGAGGCTGAGCTCGCTCAGTCACCATGAATAGCCATGAAGATGAATCAGGAGGGGCGATCCCAGCCCGGTATTTAGCTGGAACTCATACCAGGACTTTGCAAGAAAAAGGGCAGAAACAGCCAGGGAAAGAGGGTTCACATAGCAGTTCATAAAGTGGAAACTGCCCAAAGGATTGTGATGTAAGCTCAGCACCATGTCAGCAGGATTGGGGGTTTCCTTGCAAATTACTTCATAAGGGGGCGTTAAATAGTAGGGGCCTGAAACATTTTTCATCAGTGTGGTCAAAGCAGTGTCTTATTTCACAGCAGCAGTTGTGTTTTGGGCTTTTGGTACTATATAACGTGATGACATGTGAGAGGTTAAGTCTGATATGGTGCAAGCTACTGTACTCATCCTTCTCATCACACAAAAGACTGAGGCAAGACAGCAAGCCTCCAACTTGTGCATGGTTCCTTTTATTCTCATGCTCATGTTTACTAGCCTATATTCCCTCTGATAACTACACATGTTCTATCATCCTGATGTGTCAAAGCAGCTCGCACTGCTGATACCTGAGGATGGGGTTTTTGTGTTGCACCTTCAAGTCAGGAAAGTACCACTGTCTCACATTGGCTTCCATTTTAAAAGCAGCGTCTTGGTGACTGCAACTTACTTGGAAGTCAGCAGGTGGCACCCACGAAACACTGATGCTTTTTACTTGACCACGCTCGACTGTCCCCTTTGGAGCATCAAGGGTGAATCCCCTCTGCTGCAGCAGCGGCAGGTTCTCGAAGCCGAACTCCACGCTCTGATGGAGGGGCACAGACACCAGCCTCACCACAGGCACACAGCAACTTTAAAGTTCCTAAAGCTGAATTTTGACCCGAGGAACCCATAGCCATTTGTCCCGTGGCAGTGTTCCTAATAGTGTCTATCATAAAGCTGTGCTTCTCCTCACCTTCTTGGATGCAAACTGAGCTGTCCGGATAGCTCCAACTTGCAATTCTGCCACTGCCGGCACTACCGAACTCTCTCCCTCCACATACTCCAGGACAAGCAGGATGGATCTCACTGGTTCTTGCAGCTCTAAACAGATACCAATCAAGTAAACTTTAGAATAGCGCAAACTGAAAGATGATCAATCTGAAATGGCATAAGTTAAATCAAGATGGTTCAGAACAAAGGTGATGTTGTTGCAAATCCATTAGTGAGCATAGATAAAGATATCCTCTTTTAGTTTAACTTACAAGGTTAGTGAAGAGTTAAGCTAAGGAGGGTTTTCAGGATTTGCAATTGCCAATTATTAATTGTTTTTAGGTTTCATGCTTATTTTCCAGCCTTGTGGCACATATATTCTGCAAATGCTGTATTCCTACTTGTGTATTAGGTGTGCTTTATATTTCCGTAACTGGGTGCTGTTTATATACTGCCTCTGAATAGCTCCTCTCTAAAAAAATTAAATAATAAGGATAAACTTTAAGTCTAGAAAGTCTGTTTCTGAATTCATAAGAGTATAATCAGGAAAGTCCTGAATAAGTTAACATATGTGAGAATTTTATGAGCACTAATGCAAGTCAGGGAAGTGGCAGAAAGCAAATAAAGTGTAATTCTTTGTAATATTATTGAACTATCATAGCCTTTTGCAAGGTAAGTTGCAAAGACAGATCATCTTCATTAAGATATGACACTATTCAAATTAAAAGAAAATCATTTCTTAAGGGAGTTTTCTGTGTTTGTTTTTTGATGTTGTGAATGCTGATAATACTATAATATTCATTCTGATTCTTAAAAAAAGAAATCATTTCTTAAGGGAGTTTTCTGTGTTTGTTTTTTGATGTTGTGAATGCTGATAATACTATAATATTCATTCTGATTCTTAAAAAAAGAAGCCCTTTATTTACATTTTCTTGAAGTAAAGGATGAGGAATAAGCCTGTATCTCATTATTCATTATTTTGCCATTTTGCCAGTTACCTCCCTTTGCTGCTTCCTGTGATGACACAGGCAGTGTCACAGCCAAGGTCTCCACGGGCACATCTAGTGGAATTCCCCCTTCCACAAACATTGGATAGTTTCTTGCTGCACCTTTCAAGCAGATCACATGGGCTACTTCCTATGTAAGACAAGAATGCTGCAAATGTAGGTTACAGCTCAACTGATAAAACTGGAAACCTGACACAATGGCTCCAGCTGCACAAAAATGACTGAATAAGCTGCCTATGCTAACGCCAAGAGGCACTGGCTATAGGCAAACACTGGCTGTTGGCAAACTACTGGCTGTAGGCAAACTGAGGCAAACTTTCTAGGAGAGAGCAAAACAAGCCAAACAAACCTTATTTGCTCACTATCAGTTTCTACTGTATTTACAGTATTATATTTCTACTCACCTTGCCAAAGAGCACAACCTTCAGACAGTCAGAATAATAGAGACTTTCATGATCAGGACTGAAAGTGACAATAAAATCCTGGCTCTTCCCAGCAATAATTTCTCCTTCCATTGGAAAGATGCTGAACACACTTAAACCATTATAGTTCTGTGTTCCTGGTGAACAGAAACAATAACAAGGAAAAAGGGCAGCTCTGTTTTACTTCATATATGTTAAACTCTTTGGTTGTTGTTGGAAGAGCAATCAATAAAAAAAAATGTGGTTTTGCAGCAAAACAGGGTATTAGAAACAGCAAACCCATCTATCCATTTAGTGCATTTATCTTTGAGAAACTGAAGAAGCATCACCAAGTCTTTCCTTTATTCTACAATCTACTCCCCTCAAAGAAGGGCATTCCTAAATGTGCTCTTTCATATACAAATGCTGTGGGTTACTCAGATGTAAATACGAGTAATTCTTTACTTGAGGATATATTTGGTAGCTGAATAGATTTAACAAAGATAAAGTATTTTACAGGACAAAATATTGCTATACTTTGATCTTAAAAAAAATAGAAATTTACCAACAAGATCCGTTCTTTGCACAGAAGATGTCATGAAGGAGGGAAGCCTCTGCTGATCCTTATCCCTTGTGCAAGAAAGTGAATCCAGTTGTATGGAGTATCTCAGGTTCAGTGTGGAAGTGTTCTGTATCTGATGACATTGATTTATAGAAGAACATTTTCATTAGGAAAAGCGGTTCTCAAGCTTGTAGAATCCATATTTTGTAGACTGGCTGAATTTATTTTTCTGCATTACTGACCTATTCTGTACTTAGAAGTTTTACAAAGTATGTGTGGGCTGTTGCCATCCACGTGTCATCCATGAGTCCATCTCTGCCCAGCAAATTTTGACAAAATTAATTATCTTTTAAAGTTACGTTCTTTCATCTAAAGCTACTCAACCTTATATTTCACCAGGGTGGCAACTACGGAAGTTCTCTTCCTACTTCAGGAAAATGGCTGGTAGGCTTCCCAGGTCAGTACAGAGCTCAGAATTTACCTTGAACGTGGAGGTCGCTTTCTCTTTGGCTATGACATATCCCATATCGAGGACTTCTTCCACAGAGCACACGATTGATGGTGTCACCCCGTGACCAATGATGCTTAGGGTTAGACTGGTTTTTACAGTCCAGATGTCCAGGGTTTCAAAAAACTGCCAAGAAGGAGGTGTCCATTAGCCCATTTGTTGAGGGAAAACAGACAGATTGGAAGGGACTGTTACTAGAGAACCTCTGCATTCAGGACAGGGAGGGGCTATGTAAAGTTTTGCTCAATATTAGGCAGACACATCCGAGTCAGTTTTATACACACACACACACACACACACACACACACACACACACACACACATTTACATACATATAATGTGTATACGTATATTTAACACAGCCCCATATATATCTTCCTTCTTCTCCCACCCCTTACTAATGGCCTGTGACCTGGGGTGGGTGCTGCAACCTGGGCCACACTGCAGACCAGATCCTGCAGCAAGGGACAGATCCTCACCCAGGGCTGGATCCTGAATGGGCAGCGTGGTGTAAAGTGGAACAAAGTAGAGCTAAGCAGGATTTCTTTTACTCACCCATTTATCCTCATTTGGACAAAAAGAGATGATAAGAGTTTTATTTCCCCCTGGCTGAAGCATTCGAGCTGGTCTGATCAACAAGAAAGGACCACTGGGATTCAGAATTGAGAATCCTAGCTAAAATAGTGCAACTCAAGGAAAAACAATTTTATAAACCATAATTGGAAGAAGGATAAAAAGTAGTTTTTAAGTATTGTTCAGCTCAAAGATGGGTGTTACCCAACCACCTACAAGCTTTTCCAAAAATCTGAAACTAAACTGAAAAGAAAAATTAACCTATTTTTTTCATACACAGCTTAAGCAGCCAAAAGACTACCTTCCAGTTAAGAAGATCTCCATGGAGCTCCATTTCGAGCTTTTGTCTGGAATAGGTTATTAACATCTTAAAATATAAGATAATGATATTTTCCTATACTAAAACTGCCACTATTCCTGTACTGTTTTTCTATACTGTACTATTTGCTATTGAAGTAGCTTTTATTGCTTAGAAAGTGCTAAGTGCTTCTCAAGTTTGTTTCTGTGCTAGGTAAGAGTGAAACAGAATTAGCTTTCTAGTGTCTGACCTAGGCTTGCCTAGTGTATTCTCAAAAATCATACTCAAAATACAATCATACTCAAAAATGTGTATTAAAACTGAAATATGCTATCTCCTTGCTATAGCAGCAAACAATTTCTATTGGCACTATGCCAAATTAAACAACGGTTGAACAACAGATTTACTCACATATTCTGAGTAAGGATACTTCCAGCTTCTCTGAGGAGATATTTTGTATTGTAATTTGTTTGATTCTTCTATGGCCTAACAGGAAAGAAAACAACAGTTCAAAAAAAACCATTGCTGCTCACTCCAAATTACTGTTATTCCTATTTACTTCTGCTTTTACCTGTGCTAAATGTTTATTCCATTTATATGGCTAATAAATACCCAAATCTCACCAAATATTTGGTCAAATTTGGACAGTCACTAGTAGAGCTCCTGATTCCATTTTTAGGATCACGCAGACTTTTTACATGACTCATCCGGCCAGTTAGGCTCCTAATTTTCCATTTGAGTACCTATTATGGGCCTAATTTCCATATTGACATTTGAAACTAAGCAAAATAAAAAAAAATAACAGAACTATGCCCAGAAGAAATTAAAGACTGAAAACAAAAACAAAACTTGAATTCAATTTTCATACCTATTGCAACATCGCCAAAATTGACTGCGTTTTTCCCATTATCTGAAGTGACCACAACAGATGGTGCTACAGCCGGACAGTGCAGCTCCAGATACAATGTATTATAGGGACTATGGAGATAGTAAAGAGGTGTTTGCTTTTAGTTCACAAATAGAAAGCAGTGTCAGAAATCTGTTCTTACTCTGTTCCCACAATATTAATTGGTTGGTTTCTTATCTAACTAGCAGGGTGTAAGCATGAGTTTTTACCCTAAAAAAAAAGTTCAAAATCACCAAGTATTTTTTCCCTCCAAATGAATAAAAACACTTTCCTCCAAAATCTCTGACCTAGTATGAATTACAAATATCTGGTTTCAAGTTGTTTGCTTATAGAATACCTGCAGTTTAGATCTTCACAGCTTCTCCTTCCCTCAGTGTCTCCACTTGCAACAAAGCAGGGTATAATGTATTTTTCAAAACTCCCTCTGAAATTCCTGATCAGCAAAGTCTGGGCTAACATAAAATCTTCAGAACTAGAAAATTCAGGAATAACATTCATATTACTAAGAAGCATAACAAAAAATGTTTTCTATATGAATTTTATTTTTATGACTTGTATTAGTAGTACTTTATAACTTAAGAGTTGCAATGAACATGATAGTCATTAGTCTAGTTAGTCAAAAATAAACTATTTAAAAAGTTTTTTTTTACAGTATTGTTACATTTCCAACTAATATCTTGGATCCATATTTTCTGATAAGTCTCTATTGCCCCCATACATATGAAGGGATTCTTGGCCTTACTTGAGAGGTTACCATTGGGTGGGTTAAAAACAGTATTAGCAGCGTTTGCAATTCAACTAAAGATATTTCTTCATTACAGCTTGATTTCTTTTTCCACTTGGAGGGCTCAGTAGATTAAGCCACTTATAAAGGCTCTTTGTTGCCTATGCAGTAGAGGATGCTTTTACTCACTTCGGTTCTAGCTCTTCAGATTTTGGTGGCTCAGAACTATGCACAGGATTCAAGTATTTACTGCCTCTGTCTCTTGCAAGCTGTCTTGAAGATTGGTGTCTGATAAAGGAAGTGCATGATTTCTTTATCTCTCTCCTCTCATTTTTCTTTCTTGCCTGTAAATATACACAGACATTCCTCAGAAATTACACCCTGTGAAATTCTAGTTCTGGAGAATTTGGATAACCAATTCCTACTATCATTATTAACTTAAGATAATGCAGTGAACAAAGCCAGATAACAGAAGTCGGATTAAGGTAACAAGCAGTAGATGCAGTAGTTATTAGAATTTTAATAAGATAAAATTAAATTGAAATATTTTCCTTCATCCTAAAAAAAATTCCTTACTGCAGCAGATGAGTAAGTTACCGCATACTTTGTTAGGATTTTGTCTTCTTTCTCTCGTAAGGAAAAATGACCACAGATGTTAATGTAAATTAACTGAACCATAAGATTACATATCAGTTCCATATACAACACTAACCTCTAAGTGGAATAACATTTTAGAGCACTTACACCAGCTTTTAGAGCACTTACAGTAGCTGCAATTCCCACTTTCAAAAAAATCTACAAAGGCTTTTGAAAGTCTTAGGAAATTAACTGTTTGTTTACTGAACAAACTACACATTCAGTGGGACAGTACAGCCTTACTTTGTCCTGTATACCCAGGTCATAGCTCGTGAGTTGGCACTCCATTAATATGCAAATAATTTTAGGATAAAAATACCAAACGGAAAACCAAATCACTGGTATTGACAGCCCATGCTAGCACGTGCTAGTTCTTAGCATTTCTTACTTGTATTTCTGCCCTTGCCACAGCTGCTCTGCAGAGCCGAATTGCCTCTTCTCTGATTAGCTGATCTGACAATGTTGGTCTGAAGGACACTTGAATTAAGCTTTTCTGGGAGTGTGAGAGCATAGATAAGAATGAGAGGCAGAATTCAACCCTCATACATGCGCTATACGTACAGAGTTCAGTAGGAACATATATTTTATGGGAAACTTTGATCAACAAAATTGTGAATGAGGTAAACCTAAGGATAAAGTCACTCACAGCTTTTTAGAAGCATGCTGGATTAAAGTGTCTTTATATTACCACTATTTTTGTTATTTAAAGGTTCTTCAAATAAATCATAATGATAACACTGGGAAAGAACATTCTGGGTGACGTAAAGCTGAAGCCAGACACGATGGTTAACCTCTTAATTCCAATTTAAACAATACAAATTATTCCAGTCACACAAGCAGGAATGTAGACAAGCAAAATGTTAGTCAGAAATTTCGAGGTCTGAAAGTTAATTTACCTTCCCAGGCAACACAGTCCCAACAGAAGGTGCAATTGTCACAGGACAATCTTCTGGCACGTGGAATTCAAAGGAAGTGGGTCCAACACGGGCCATTTCCCCATTGCCAATTCTTGGGACAGCATGAGTGAAGTGGTKGACACTTATATGGGAATTTATTACATAGAGTGTTGCTGTAGATACACCATTTAAAGCTGTTGCAGCAAACTGGACTAAGGAATGAGACAATTCAAGAGGTGGGTGGACTCCAACAGCTTTGCATGACAGCTTGAATTGTCTAAAAATAAACACATCATAAACTGTTTCAGCATAAAAGAGGCTCTTAACCAGCCCAGAAACTAGGGAACAGATCCTACAGTGCCTGTTCAAGCAGGATTTTTCAAGCCCTGCAATGGAAATTTTGACCGAATATGGACAATGCTACTATCTATTTCTAATGCACAATTGGCTAAAGATTCCCTCTTCCTCTGTGAACTTCTTCTGTGAACTTCTGGAAATACATCCAATTAAATCACAGAATTTTTGCCACCATTATTTTAGTAGCATTAGCTTAATGCATGGAACTTTTATTATAAGAAACCAAAAAAAAAAAAAACCACTTTTGATAATTCTGCTGAGAAAGCAAACAGAACTTTGYAAGTCAAGAAAACTTCAGGCAAATTCACAGCTTGGACACATGACATTTATAAACTTCAAATGGGACAGGAAAAGAAAGCAAAATGGAAAGTTTATCTCGGTAAAGACAGATACAGAAATGAAGAATGAAACTGTTAGTAATTGAGCAACTCTTGTGAACTAGAGAATTCCTGCTGGCCTCACAGTTATATCCTATAGCCTAATCTACCTTTTCCAAGTACACTATGATTTAGACTTCCACATTATCACATTATCTCAGCCAGTTTAACATACCTGTTAATCTCCGACTTGCAGGTTAGTTCAAAGTTGTATTCCTTTGCCTTGTTGGCTTTAAAGATTATATCTAATGTTAGGCTTTCAAGAGGAAGAAGAATGCCAAGTCCATCATTGGGTTGAATTTCAACAAACTTCAAATAGGAAGATAAGAAAAATATTAAATGTATAAATGTTAGAAAAGCAGAAACCTCTTTATTAGAAGCTTTTATTCTGAGTAACAGTGATTACTGTATATGTGATTTGCAAGATTTTAATTCCAGAATAACTTGACAGGCAGAAATTTAAATTTAATAACTCAGACCTTTCTGCAGTCTTATCTCCTGACTTGTTTTCATCTGTGGTTATTACTTTTCTCAGTGATGTTTGTTTACTCTCATGTAAAACTATAAAATATGACAAAAATCTCAACTTTTCCCCTAAAACTTTGAAAAACTGATGCTGTGCTGAAACCATGGCAACAAGTACCAGCTTAGTACCTAGAAATGCACATCATTTGTGTCTGTATGAGCTGATAGAGATTGAATGTCTTTCAATCACAAGTTAATTACTTAATTATATACATCTTAATTAGAAGAGGAGCAGGAGGGATAACCACATACCTCTGGAAGTCCCACAAATCCAAACTCTTGTGGCAAGATGGATTTGTTTGTTAGTGTGATATTTGTTTGCACAGCTTCATAGATAGTGCAGTATCCAAAATTTATTTCTGCGGGACTGATTTCGAGATCAGAAGTAGTAACAATTGCATGGACAGTAAAAGTTACAGGTTTAGTCTGAAACAAATGCAAGAGCACTGGTAAAAACTGTATGTGTAGTATAAACAGTAAGGTTTTTGTTTTTTTTWAATAAAAAAAAATGCCAAAAGAGTCTCCATTTATCATCTTAGATTCCATATGCTAGAATAGAATCAAACCTGCATCTCCAGGAAACATACAGCTTAAAAATATTCTATACAGTACAATACAGATCACAATGAAAAGACTGGGGGATGGGATATCTTGGGATATCTTTTATGTTTTAAAGGAATTATCCATTCTGTATTATCATTATATGCACCTTTTACTATTGTCACATATTGTCATTACTTCAGCTAGTAAAGGACTAAACTGGGATTTGATATCATTAAGTGAATTTTCAGTTAAGATAACAGATTTACATCTCTTGTCAGCCTGCTAACTAACATAATAAAATCACTAACCTTGTCTGCAATCGATATTGTCATTGGAACTTCCAGAACTCTCGTCTCCTTGTCAAAATAGTTCCCTGCATCTTCAGGAAGAGAGTGCCTAAAATGGAAAAATACACTCAGTTTCGTGGAAGTGTATTGACTTAACAAATGGGAATAACAAAGTTTTGATGGATGTATTCTTATTTAAACAAAGGGAAACAAACAAAACAATTCTGAAGACCTGCCTTCTGTCCAAGGATGTGCAGGCAGATCAGGATTTCCTGGAGAACCGCATTCCTCCCACCATCCTGCTCTGAGCTGATCACAAGGATGTCTAACAACGTAGTTAGAATAATCAACCACATTTAGTTAGAATAATTGGACCAAACCCAACTGAAAATAATTGGATTATTTTAAAGACAGGTTTGTGGACACACAGGAGTATAACAGAGTCATTTACTGGGGCCTGCGCCTTTTACACTGTTACCAAACACCCCATCCAGTGTCATCCAAACACTCCTTAAAATCCAGAAAAAAATAAAGCTTCCAATATGTGCAGAACACAATCCTTCTGCTTCTCTGCTGCATCCACAGCTAAAAATTACACCTACCTCAGCAGCCTTTGACATTGATGGCATTTAATTGCCACCCTATTTGAAATACTACCAATTGAATCACAAGATATCAGAAAGCCATAAATCAAGGCAAGCTGCATAGGGGAAATAAACGTGGAGACCAATAGCGTCTGATTGCATCGCAGATTAGTCACTTACAGGGATTACATGGCTTTTCTGTTGCTGAAGCATCTTGCTATCCTAAGCTCAATTTCAGAGCTTCAAGCCAAGACAATACAAAAGCTCCAGCTTTTTTAGCTCCACTGTTCTATTTATAGACCTTATACCATCAGAGGGAATTGTTTCCTCTTCTTAGGTCTCCACAGTGATACTGTTCTTACTACCAATTCTGTAATTGCATGTAATGTTGTCATGTATTTTTAAAGAACAGTTAATAAATAAATGATATTCACTTAAAATCATCATGGTGATCTGTAATCTTACTGCTTTTATTTCACAAATTTGAAATGTGACTTTAGAAGATTTGTGATCTTTGGATGGATTGCAAACTTGTTTAAAGATAGGAACTGAGTTAAATATAAGGAAGGAATGAAGTGCTGGTTTTCATTTTGTGGTTGGACATTACAATAGCAGAAGCTCTTTGCATACTGCAGAATAATCCAGAGGGGAAAAAAAAATCCTAACTATACATACACAGACAGGAGCTCTAAATTAGCTGTTTTGCCTTGGGAAAAAGATAGTGAAATCCTTTCTATAGTTCTCTGAAAGTGTCATTAACATGACAAGCATAAGAGACAAATCCGATTTAGGCTGACAGCATCTGCAAGACTAGTTCCAAATGCAGAAAAACTAAAAAACACAATATTCGGGTATTCTGAAAGTCTTAAAATTAGAAAATTTGCCTAAAATATGCAGAAACTATGGCTTGGCTTGAAGTGACCCTATAGTTAAGAGCAGAGTATCATCTGACCAGGCATTTCAATGTGCACAAACTACTTGGGAGAGCTTCCCAAGCTATCAGTCAATCTTTCCACTTAACTTTGCTCAGTAAGGTTTTCTTTTTTATTTTATTTTGTTTTTAATGCAGCTATTTTTTCTCCTGAGGAAAAAAAAGGAGCTTGTAATACTAAGGTTCTAGAAATGTGTCACATTATATCAGTCTTATCAAGCTCATCTTTCTCTGTTGTTCTCTCTCATACAGACACACAACCCCTTTAAAAATAGATCTATATGCTAAATCAGCTAGATAGCTATTTTTGTGTGTCAGAAATGTCTTAATGTCATCAAATCTCCTGCTGAAGCTTTCTCATTTTTCAAAGAGAGATTAATGCTCTAAATCTAAGCTACGCTTCTAACCACTCAGCAAGTGGAATGGTGTCTTACAGCATTGAACTTCAGGAACTGAAAAATATGATAATGACAGTTACTGTTGTGGCTAATCTGATAGGATTTGAAGTGTTGGAAAATTTGTAAATACTTGTATTTTCTACAAATATTCATGTGCTGATAACTTTGATGTCAGTGCTTAGCCTCATTTTAGAATGTAAAGGTCTGATTTCCAGAGATGTGGAGCACATCAGAAAATTCAAACATGCTTAGATGGAAGGAGCTAGATAAGCTCTATGGAGAAGCCTGCAGGTATGCAGCAGCAATCGCTGCACCAAATACTTCAGGATTTGTATGAAAAAAAGGTTTAAGTTTGAAATAACTGATGCCACTGTAGTATTTGACTGCATATCAGTGTTGAGATCTAATCATTCAGTTTGTATTTTAAAGGAAACGTTCTGCTAAATTCTTTAAAATAACAAGGCTAAGATAAATAATAATGCTCAATAACAATTTAAATTGCATTTTTTTTTTAAATGGCCTTCCTAATTTGTCACGCTTGCACCGTAGATGCATTTTGAAGTGGAGAGAAAAAACTTGCTGAGGTAGGTCTTTTAGCATCCTAGAAGACATTCTTACGTAAATGACACACAAAATTAAAATAAATAAATCAACACATTCAGTATTTCAGAGAAAACAGTACCTGGATGAGGGATACAGGCAGGAAGTCCAACTGCTCTTACCTTACTTAGCAAACACAGGAGTACTTGTCCAAAAGTGATTTCATCAGTGATCTGTGAAGTAGCCACCTGCCCAACTAACCTCTCTTTTGTTAAGAGGCTCCCCACAGAAAGGGTGGCAATTTACCCGGAATGCAACTGTTAAGATTTTCACACTGCTGCTGTCACCACAGGAATAGCATTTCCTCACAGGAATGGGATCCAAGTTAATTTCCTCCTTGAGCATCTGGCATCTTTTGCAAAGGGAGACAGGAGGGAGCCTGGGACTGCTCTGACACCAGCAGCGTGGAGTCCGACTGGCTCCAGTCAGTGTGAAGGAAAACAACATCTTTAACTTGCTCAGATTTTATGCTGACAGCCTCTTAAATATCAAAAATATTAATATTGTTAGGTTACCTGGGCAGAAACTTCAGCTGCACGCTGAAGGACGACTGAGCTTGAATGTAACCTGTTTTTGGCAGAAGCTCCATATGTTTAGTCAATTCTCTGCATACTTCAAATGTCAAGCGCAGTGCGGCTTTTGCTCTGCAAACAGATAAGTCCTGCTTAGTGGTTTAGGGGCTGCCCATGTTGTTAGATCAGCGACTACATTTGCTCTGGAAGTTGGTTTCCCTTCCCCCTCTTGCATCACTCCTCTCCATTAGAGCTGTGACTATTTTAAGCCTCCTTTGAAAATGAAGACCATGTGAAACTGTTATAGCAAAATCACACAGTTGTATTCTCTTTTAAGCTAAGTATAGAAAACAAGATTTTGGAAGTACTTTGAGCAAACCCAGCTGTATTTCAAGCAATGTATACAGCTGATGGGAACATAATTTTCAAAGTGCATAGTGATAAATCAGGTCAGTGGAAAGTCAAAGCCAAATTACTGTGAAATACAAGCTAATCATTTGTTCCTAACATATTTCCTCTATCTGAATCAAAAGGAACGATTCATGCAATGGTTTTAAGACTCCTAAACACTGAATGTCCAGCATGGAGCCAGAAGAATCAGAAGGATGAACCTGGAAGGCCACAGGACACCTAAAGAGAGCATCAAAATGTAGCCGGGGTGTGAATTCTGCTCATGCACATTTTTTGCAGAATAATCTCAAAACCTTCAACCTTCAAGATAATTAAGGCTGCATAGGTAGGAAAAATACTCCAGTTCAGATGGGCAAGCTGAAGTTTCTTATTCCAGGAGATTTAGTGAGGGCTCCTTTTTGTTTTTCTTCTCAACTCTTAGGAAAGAACTCTTAGGTGTCTTGTAACTCGTCTTCAACAACAGAGATTCTGCAGGCCTAGAAGTCAGAGTGGGGCTGGGCTGATGCTGCCAGTTTCTCTGCTAGACGACTTGTCATCAGTTTGTCCTAGGAATGGTGTACTGGACGCTAAGGAAACAGCTTTCTGTTTAACTGAATTTTGCTCATACTATCATGTGGTGATAGCCACAATCCATATCCTACTTTGTAATTAATGCCTATGTGCAAAATTGCCAAGCAATTTACAAATATTTTGGGTTTTTGTTTTCCTCCTTTCTGACTGGTTAGCAAGCTGTCAGTCCAGATGGTCTGCTCTCCATCCACTACTACAGCATAAGGTGCTGGGAGCCTGGAATGATTTCTGACCATTGACAGACCAAGAACTACTTACTTCTCCATTAAATCAGTGCAGATTATAACCTGCCAATTAAATTACATTTCCAAGTGATTTTTTGGACAGAATTCTGGTGAGACACTTTCACCCACATTTATGATTGATATGAATATACTTATATACTTATGGTTCCATATTTATGCTTTGCGATTACCATAGTCTTTGTGTTTTTTTCCTACAAATAGCCAAGCATGGGAAGAGACATTTGTAAGAACAATCTGTAACTTTAAAGTACATTTAAAAAAATCTTATTAACATTTCATTAATCTGTATTTTAGAAGTTATGCTAATAAGATATCTGAGCCTCAGTTCTCACTAGCTAAGGCATTTCAGGAATTGAGAGAGGAGCCTTTTCAACTGGGTTAAAGAAAACCATAGCTTTGGCCTCCTTTTGCTACCAGCAAAAGTTTACAGACTTCAAAATAATAGCTCTTCAGCTGATGTAGAGCTTCTGTGTGCAGCTGCTGTAGCAAACTGTTGTCTTGGACTGTACATTGACAACAGTTCGAACCCTTCATTGCCTGCTTGATAATTGTCCTTGGCTCTACATCCTTAGTTTGTGCCTAATTGCAGACCACAGACCTTAGCAACTAACTTTCCTCAGTCTTTGACTATTGCATTGGAAGAACAGCTATTTAACAGTCCAACAGCTGCCTTCTGAGAAATTATTCCCAATTAATAGTAAGATATATGCATTTTCAGCAGTTTTAACTGGCTCAATTTGACAAGTCATTTGACATAGATGGTGAAGAATCCTGTTTCTGATACAAGCGTCAGATTAATTTTAATAACTCCTAGAGCAGGAAGGTTATCAGCATGCCACATTCAGCTAGGAGATTAAATGCATGCATGTTGGCAGGATGAAAAGCTGACACATGATACTCCTGCACATGTGACATTTGGGATTTCATCCATGGTTACTATAGCACAAAGAAAATGTGCTTCCTAATGATTTAGAACAGGAGATCCAATATGTCAAGGTAAACGGGCACATCAGCRTGCTACATATAAAGTGCCCTTAATATTGTGAAAGTTGCCAGTTCAGAAGGATGATTTTCCCCATGGTTAAGAAGGCTTGGCCTAAGTTATATGATAGCCTGATAATGAATGGGTAGCTCACCTGCTTTGAATGACAATGCAATCTTGATAAAGTCGGTCGTACATACAGATCTTTAAATCAATGTTTGGATTGGGCACCCAAACTGGCACATCAATAGAAACTCCAGTGGCACTAAAGTACAGCTGTTAATACACAAACCAAGAGTGTACTTGTTTTTAATTGGTCCAGGAAATTAATACTGATCTAGGGAGAGCAAGAATTTCTACTATGAACTACAGCCAACAAAAAAAATTGTATTAAAGGTTCTTTGGTTAGACAAATATAGGGAAGATACTTGTAAAAATAAGTCATAGGTATTCCTGTACTTCTGCACAAAAGTGGCCATGGTTTACAAACTCACTCTGAAACTTGCCATCAGGTTACACAATACATAATTATGTCCTAGAGTGTTTATATTATTTAGAGAGTTTATATTTTTTCATGTACCTGCTTTCCTAGTTCTAAGCCTTGCAAGAGGCATAAGCAGGAGAATTTCATACTAGTTTTTTTACCATGTTTTGAGTCAAATCTTACACAAAAACACTCACTGGCTTGCAGGATGAGTTGTCAAATGTAACCACAAACTCTTCCCGTACATCCCCAGGGATAGCTGGGATAAATATGATCTGAAGCTTGACGGAGCTGAAGGGTCCAATTTCACCTTCAGTAACCTTAAAAAAAAAAAAAAAAAAAAAAAAAAGGTACATTTCATGAAAAAATGACTTTATTGTTGTAGTTGGCTATAACTTGTTTTAAAATAAATAGCATATATTCATACAGTATTGAAACAGAACCTGAACAGTCAGAAAGTTGCAGGATGAGTTTCATTCTGTTGTCTCTGTATGACAACTAGATTATGTAGTTTACTGAAGAATTTCCATAATACTGGTGAAAATATAAGTAATGAATGTATTTGTTCTGAATTAAGCGTAAGTTTTCCTGCATTCTGTACTGACATACAGTACAGTTACTGCCAAAGCAATTTTTTCATATAGGCTTAGAACACTGGAAGTCTTTTATGCATCTCAGACTAATCATTACCTTGCCCAGCATAATTTCAGTTGGTGCTTCTTCAAGAGAAGATTCCACCAAGTTCTCTGCATCATCTGCTTCTAGATCTGATTTGGAGTTTAATGCATCTTTATTCAGCTCTTCTGGAGAAGAAGGGGGAAAAAAAAAAAGGCAGAATGTATGTTTCTGTAAAATAACAAAAATATCAACCAGCACAAATATCACAAATCCAATCCCATATCCCAATGAGGAGAAGAAAAGGTCTAGAAGGAAACCTTGTTAGAAGAACGAATTTGTTCCCATCCGTAAGTCTGAGTCCTCTGACTCTTCTATTATTGTTGTTATTATTCATCTCACCTATAGAACTGCTGCTCAGGCTTGTTTCTGTCCTCTGCTGCTCCACCTGCGTTACACAATGAGCTATTTCTTCACTATGGTCATGAGAAGTTTCATCCTTTTTCTTATACAGAGATTTCATAGGACTAATATGGACTTCTTCTTCAAGGACATATTCACTGAACTGTTGACTAGTCTATTACAAAGCATATGGTTCATGTTATAAATGGAGATATGCATTGTACTTTTCAAGCAGAACACACTCTTCTGGAGAGCTTTATCATGATGACATTTTTGCTGCTTACTCAAAATAGGCAACCAGTATATTAGGAACAATAGAATACGGTTATAGTATTTTACAGTTATATTAGAATTCACAGATTTTCCAGGGGAAATATATAACTGGGGGTTTAAAGGATTGTGTCAGAATCTCTGCTTTTAATTATATTTTTTCCTGCCCTGTGGCATTAGGTGTTGGCAAAAATGTATCTTAGCACAGCGTGATTTATTTCAAGAATGACTTTGTGGGTTTTTTTTTTTTTTCAGAGCCATTTTATTGATCTTATGATATTTGGGGCCTAATGCATAATTTGTGCTTGGGTTGCCAATACCGCATATAAAAAACTATTATGTTTTTACAAAGCAGAATGTCTTGATCAATTTAGAGCAATGCTTTTAAACCTACCATTCTTCCAAAAGACTTTGCTGTTTCTCTGGTTATGCTACTGTCACCTGATGACATCTGAACTTTGAATCGTGTCCCCAGAGCTCCACAGTTTGTTAGGGTGATAGCCCGTGAAATTCTTTCCCCGACAACTTGAGTGCCAAAGTCGATCAGTTCTTTATCTAGTGCCAACTGTAAGAAGAAAAAACATAATTATTACTATCTGAGGTGGTCAGTGATGCCAGTTAAATGGGCGTCAACCATTTAAAGAGTAAGGCTTTAAAATTCTTATTACCATTTCCAAGATAATATCAAACATAAATGACATAAATTACAGACTAGTTTGAACAAAATCTTGTTAAACCAAGCCACTTTTAAGTCARTTCGCTGTTTGACTGTGGAAATGCATCAAATTGTGATCGTGGCAGCAGCTCTGTATAAGCCTGAGTAACTCAAGTGGTTACTCTGGATTTAGACAGCGTTTACACATCAGTTCAACACTGCTGTTCTTGTATTAGAGTAAGAAAGTCTTATAAGCAGCAGGACGATAAACAAGCAAGCAGCATTTAGTGTCATACAGTAACTACACATCAGTTTAAAACGCATCCTGTTCTGTTGAGTCACCATGGAAGTTTCACCAATTTTGCAGCTAAGTTCAAGATAATGAAAGGCTTGCAATTCACATTCAAGCATCAAAAACATAAAGACCATTTGACTACTAGCTATTTGCTTTTAGAGAGAGTATGAGTGGTATTTTATGGAAAAAGACTGCAGCTAGAAAGAAACACTTCTTGCTAAATATTTTCGAGAGTATTTTTTATTTCATTTTTTAAAAATTGACTCTGATTGAATATTTAAGCAAAGTCACTTACAATGCATTTCTTGGTTGTACACTTAAGTGGAACAGAAAAAGAACCTGTTTGTGCCATAAATGTGATCTCTCCTTCAAGAGTTTCATTTATCTAAAAAAAAAAAAGTTACCAATTAATTTGCAAAGCTTGCTGAAAGTTACATCTTCCTCATTCTTTGAGTTACATAACTCTGTAGGTTCTGTATTTCCATTTAAGGCATTTTTGATAACTCCCAGATTATCTTTAGCTAGGCAGTAACACAAGACTTCTAGTTCAGAGTAATTTAGTTCACTTACCATTGGCTTAAATGTTACCCCTACTTCACAGGATATTCCAGCAGACATTTGGCCAGGTGGATCAAAACTATGGGGATAATTAACATAGAACTCAAAATTAAAGCTGTGTACAAAATCTCTGGCTCTCATTCCGATAATGCTGGCAGAACGAATTACATAATAAATTAATCCAAGGGAATAAATATTAAGAAAGTCAGGGTAAGTGACAAATTAAGGAAAAACTAGAGAAACTTGGAACAGTTAAGAGACTACAGAAGCCAATTCTTTATAGTGGTGTTAATCAAGAAGTCTTAAAATGCTTTCAGCAGACAAGGATTGCTGTGTTCATGTTACAAACTGAGAGACGGTAATTAAGTAGTTAAGTTAAAGCCTGTTGTGGTTAAAAATGCATCTCTTAGATGGCGACTAAAGTGCTAGATATTTACTGAGACCTTCCAGAGCAGGTGGATTCTGACCCTGTAGTTCTTAAGCGAGTATATTCAGTCCAGAGTTGTACTATGCTCATGTTGCAGGCTACTCTTACAGAGATCCAGTGGCAGGAAGGGTTTGCTGCACACCACAGCCTAACTTCTTACCAACCTAGCTAGAAATTCCAAATGTGACTGATCATTACAAAGTAGCAGAGGGTAGTCAGCTGTAAAACCGAATCTCACGAGTATGAAATCAGTTGCTGTGGTAATGCAAGTTGTTCATTTTGTGGGGGTACCACTAAAACAGTGTCAGAAGTACTTTTTTTTAAAGGTTGATCAGCCAGAAGAGTTGAAAACTTAACTTTGTGTAATTTTACTTACTGAATAGTGATGAAGTCCTTGAGCCATTCACTGATTCCCGCAAGTCTGCAGAAGTTAACACTGTAGGATGCATTTGTCAAAACTATCTTCTTTTTGTAGATTTTACCAACATCAAAATCCTTGGAGTACCAAACACATCAAGTGGTCTGAATTACATACATAGCATTTACACGTGCAATTACAAGAGCAACTAATTTACTGCAGTTTCCTCATAGACCTACTGAAACCTGGGCTAATAGAGTTGTCAACAATTTGCACTGCAGGTGGCAAAGACAACACACAGATTTTGAACACAGAACTGGGTGCCAGTTCCTTCCAGTGAAGTTCTATGTTTTCTGCCTGAGGCATCAACTTCCAGCTATAAAGTTGTCACAGTTCTTTTTTTTTTTTTTTTTTCCTTTCAGAAAATATTAAGTGATGGCTAAGGTATTTGCTAAGGAAGAAAGCACAGCAAGACTGAGCTTTTGGTCTTTTTGACAGCATAACTAGAGATTCAGAAAGAGCTGTTATATCTTGCTGGAAAGTTAACATCAGTTTGATAACCACTTCATTTTTCTAGTTTGCAGACTGTGTTCCTCATTCATGCTGTCACTTGGAGAGATGGTGGTGTTCACCATGGCAAAGCACTTGGAAATTTCGGAAGTGTGCTACTTACAATCTCATTTTCCAAGGTATGTAAAAGGCAGGTAAAATCTTTACCTTTAGAAAGTGTGGAATACAATCTAACAAGATGTTTGAGTATGTGCACACCCTTTTGACAGTTTAAATTCCTGTATTTTATATTTAAAACTGAGTGAATACTTTGTTTGGCCTGACTATATAACTCCTCTGAGAGACTGTTGGAGAACAAGGGAAGTGCTTTTCCAAGTTTGACTAATGACCTATTAAAATCAACAAGAGTTGCATCCCTGCACTGTGCCCTAATGAAACAGGGATTTATCAGTTGATTTGTATACAAACACAGCATACATACGGCTTTTTAAAAGATGTTCTGCAGAATGACAGCTAACCTTGAAATGAATGAGGTTTGGTTTACTATAAAAAGGACATCCCTCACATTCACGAGCAGCATCTGTTTGCTTGTGAACGATTCCAGTTTGCAGTTTCCCCATCTTTTTTCCAAAAATCTCACTTCTCATCATCCTTGAGGCCAATAGCTTTGGTTCTCTTTCTTCTTTGGGTTCCTAAAAAAAGACAAACACCAACCACTCTCGAAAGAAAAAGTCATCATAACTTGTAACTAATCAACAGATCTATGATCTAGGTGGAAAATCCTGTGAATGATCTGGCTGGCCTCTAGCCTGTTTCTACACTAGATCAAACTCAGACTGCCAGCTTTTGTTGGAAGAAATTCATTTGTTCTGACCTGTCTACTCTGTACCTTGTATATGCCCAACTTAACATGCGATAGAGTTAATATGGTCATTAAAAAGCAGTAAGTTGTAATTTCTTCACTTTCCAAATGACTAATCATAAAAAAAAAAAAAACACACACAACAAACATGTACACAGCTAAGCATTTTTGTTAAGCAATTAAGTTATGGTCCTTGCATGTGAATGTATGGAGATAATACCCCTTACTGATAGGCTCTAGAGCGTGTTCTCAAAGATCTTTTGCGTCCCAAGAAGGCAGTATATAAAAGGTATACYGGATATGGTATACAGTATATGGAAGTATATGGAAGGTATGGAAGGCCTCAGATAACATTTGATTTCTTTACCACATAATTTCCACTTTTCAAGTGAGTATTGTTTTCTTGCATTTAGAGTAGTGAATATAATTACTTTGCCACCGTAGAAGACATACCTTTTAGTGCCTGGCATGGGATTGAAAAAGTTGTTTCCACATGAAACAATTTTGTTGCTAACTCAGAATGTCACCTTTAGTTTTCTCAGAACTCAAACAAGCAAGTCAACATGATGTGATATATGTCTTAACATCTCAGTTTTTATTCAGAGATATGTTATTTTCTCTTTAAGAGAACAAACCACAAAAATAGGTATAAAACAATTCCTTCCCACACTGAACCTCTAAATCTATGTAATAATGGTAAGTCAATGTTTTAATTGTAAATTACATATGAATAGTTGAAAGCCAATAAAACAGTGCCTGCCAATATCATTATTTTAAGATGTCTAAAACAAAGAAAACTTTTCTAATCCTTTAAGATACTTTTATATATACATTTACAAAGGTGTATAAAGACTTTAACAATAAGATAAATATATAGGCACCTTATCCACATCTATTTTTTCTATTTCTAAGAAGAAACCAGAACATTTACCTTGTGAAAACCATATCCCCAATCCCAAAGTCCTGGAAACTCTGGTTCAGCTTGAGGCTTGTCCCTGTCTTTCTCATCTTCTTTACTTTCACGAGACACATCATGGCACACTTTTTCGGGAACTTCTTGTACAGAAGTAGTTCTCTCATTAGCTGAGCAGCAAACTGATGAAGGGTACCACAACTTTTGTAAGAGGACAACAATTTTGAAGGTACAGTTAGAAATTGCTACAAGACAGTTGCTTCAACAGTACCAGCTTTTGATCAAAAAAAAAAAAAATAAAGAAAAAGAAAAAGAAAAAAAATCTCAAGATGGTTAATGTTTAGACATTTCTTTACCTGTGGTAGTGCTGCAGCTGAGTGCTGGCATGTGTTCTCAATATATTGCCATGTTCTCATTCTCCAAAGCAAAGAATCCTCAAGCTTATCAGCCCTTTTAACTGCCTTCATAGTTATTTGACTGTTTTTCTGCTTGCGAAAGTAAACATCTTCTTGCAAAATTCTAGCTACAATCTCAGTTCTTCTAGATTTTTGCTGTTCTGCAAAAGCTCTGTAATACAATAGTGTTAGAATATTAAAGAAACTATGGGTGTCTACTAGTAAAATTATCAGATTCCTGTCCCTTCTGAGCCTTTAAGCTAAAGAACAAGCAGACACACATTCCTGGCAAATTTGCTACAAAGCAGAATAGTAACTATGATCAAAAAAGTACATAGGAGACGGTCTGCCTCTGATCTTATTACAGGGTAGTCTTTGAGATGTTCTGTAGAAGCCCTAAGAAAGCCATTTAAAACCAGAAGTGTTAGAAAACGTAACTGCAGTTACTTCAGGCATCAATTTCAGTTCACTGAACTACCTGGTGTAGTTGATTTTCTTTGCACTGACCACAAGAGGACATGGGCTCCTAACTTTGGTTCTCTGCACCATATCTAAACTAGAATTTTAAGTCACTTAAAGCGGATTGTACAAATATCACACATAAAGAATATAAGAATGAATTCATTCCACTAAGATCACATCACAGATGTTGAGTTTTCACAAATCTGAGTAAGACATCCAATATATTCCTGTGTAAGCATCACTAAGCAGCTAAGGGTTCCATATAGAAATGAATACTTACTGTTTCTCTTTTTCATATTCCAGCAGTCGTTTGTGAAGAATGACTTCCTTGGTAACATTGCCTCCTTCTGCTAGGACAGCTTCTCTCATTTTCATCTCTTGCTTTTTTGCCTCAAAGGCCCTTGCTTTTTTCCCTATCTGGAGGGTTTGGAGGCTTTCCTATGAAGCCAACAAACCACAGTTACATTTGATTCACTTGCACAATATACAACAGAAATTCCACATACAAATCTGTGATGGATTACTCTGAAATGGAACTTAAATGTTTTCAGAATGTACAATAATCAAGTAAGCTACTAGTAGACTGTGCACTCAAGATAAAGAGTACTTTTAAGGGCAGATTTTAGCATTTCTAACATGGTTATTCCAGTATTTAAATTCTCTACATTTCTGATGGAGATTTGGCCAGTGATAAGACAGTGTCACACAACAATTCTGCAATGAAAAGTGAAATCACTTTCAGTAAAGCTTAGCAGTCTATAGAGGCAATTTCTGCACTCATGGTGTAAGCTGCAATAGCAGTACCCTGTTGGAAGTTATGCTGTTTTTCAGGGAAAGCACAGCTTGTATCCTTCTTTCCATATGCTCCCGAGACTTCAGTTCTTCTTCTGCATTTTTCTCATGAATTCTGTAAGTAGAATAAAATCCTTCAGACTTATACGTTAGGAAGATTTTAACCTTATAATGTTTAATCTGGCAAACAGTAATTGCCAATGTCACCCAATATTCTTGTTCTAAGTCTCTGTTTACTATGATATTGTGTCTGGGTAAGGTGAAACAGTTGGAAAGGTCCTCTATATGCAGAACCAGTCAAGGACATTAAATCTGCACAGTCTCAGAAAGAGGGATGCCAACTGCCGAATTAGTCATACTGCTCTGAAAACCAGTGGATTTTCTTGCAGGTCTTTTCTCAAGTTCTTTTGCACTAAGGTAACATTTCAACACTTCACAGTGTTGGCAGCAGGGCTGAGGATTTCCAAGTGTTAGAGAGGAGGAACTTAGCAGAAAAGCATTTACTCTTAGAAAACCAAAGGATACTGTATCAAATGCCAGAGAATATATGATGACAGATGAAAAGGAATTTATTATTACCTTGCCGTTGTTTTCCTCAGGAAGCGGACTGCTTTTTCATGGTTCCTTTGAATATCTTCAAGCATTTCTTTATGTTTTTCTTCACATTCTTTCTGGGTTTCCTCATCTTTTCTACAAAACACAGGCAAAGAGCCATAGCAATGAAACCTGGATTCCAACACCGCTTTCCTGTTTGCAGTCCATGATCTAAGGCACACCAAGGACAGGGCTGAACGTGCTGAAACTCTTGCCCTACAACAAATTTGGATCAACTTTATCATAGGTTTAGAGGTTTCTGGGGCCAACAATAATATGGACATGTGCAGTTCATCTGATCCAACAGAAAGCATACATACAGTTTTTCTCTTTAACGAGCCTGTTTTCATAGGTCAGAAGACTTAACCTAAAGGACTGCAGGCAATTCTTATTTTTATACCATTTCCTCATAAAAATATTCCAGAGCAAACAACTACCTCAAAAACACAAAGCCAATAGTATTCTTTGAATTAGCTAAACTTCTCAAGAACCTAAATAATGAGCTAGATAAAAATAATGTGGTCAAAGGAAGGACAGTGAATAGTTTCTTACTTTTCTCTAGCTTTTTGGTTTTGTTCTGCACACAGAGCTGCTCTTTTTTCCCTCCGAATCCGCCTTTCTGCTTGTTTTTGGTACTGTATATCTAGCTCATCTTCATCTTTTTCAAGTCCTTCATTGAAGCTTTCAGATTTTGCCCGCTCGGATTCCATTTGCCACACCTCATACCTTTAAAATAAAACATGAGCTGTTTTCACTAATAGTCTGCCATTCTTTCATTTACTTCATTTACTGTGAGAAATGCTATTTTCCTGCATATCTAGGCATCATAAGGTGACCTAAGTGTAAAAACTTGTACAGTACTTTTCTATCTTGCATCTTTATTAAGATTGTCTCTTTCGAGTTCCTAAAAGATTTAGCACAGGAGTCCCATCATCATTCATTATTTTTATTTAATCATTCAACTCATTTTTTGTTTAATCAGCCATTCCACTTCAGTAGATAATCTACCTTTATTAGTCTATCATTCATTGATAAACTAACTTGAAGATTAATACAGATCATAAAAGTGCAGCTGCAAAGTTTGTTCACAACATTCTGGATCTTGGTACACAAGCCACCCACTGCTTTCTATTTAAACAAATGTGAACAGTACAGTAAATTGCCTCCCACTTTATAACAGAAATGTTTCAGGACCGCTCCTGCATACAGAACTACCACTGAAACACAGGCATACATTTCTCAACATAAAAAGGCACGTATAAGTAGAATTCCTGTTTGTATTGGTCATCACAGTAGCAAATCTATGACCTCACCTCTAAAATTACCATAGCATACTTCAATATTGATTGATCATACTGAACAAAAATGATTAAACAACTGATTAGCAGTAGTGGGCTAGGCTGATATAATGATCTACTCTTTCTAGATCCTTCTTTAAAACACATGCCTGTTTCTCATCAATTCCTAAGCCTCCCCATCTTTCTGCATTCTTATTTGCTTAGTAGAATATCACCTGTAGACCAGGAACCATAGACATAACAGTCCCCAAGCTAATGGACTGCTGTTCTTTATTTCAACTGGAGGAATAATGGCTAAGTCACCTGGAAAGCAACTGTGCTATTGGAGTGCACCAGTATGGCAGTAAATGCTGTGCTGTACTTAGCAGCTGCAAATGCTTACCCTCTTGCCACTACATCCCTGAGGCAGATTTCCTTTTATCCTTAGGATGGCAGTGGCTTTCATTACTGACCCATTAACATTTTGAATATGTGGATTTTTTTTTTTTTTTTGAATATTTATCAGCTGTGTTCAGGAACAAGAAGAGGTGAAAACAGCAAAGTCTATCCATGCGAAGTTAATGAGATAAGCACAGATGGTAGCAGGGTTTGCAAATTCTAGTTTTCCTGAACAACAGTTTAAAACTTTAAAGGGATTATTCTAAACTATTTTAGAACACTATATATACAGCTGATAAGACAGTTTTGAGGAAAGTTAGTTTTTCTCTTGTCATTCTAGACTATTTAAAAGCAGAGAGAATAAGCCTGTTTTATTTTTTTAAATCATCTTGGTGTATTTTGAGTTTCTCTGTTCATAACAGAGACACTGTCAGCATTCACCGGCAGCAGTCGTATGTGCCATGCAGCTTCCCACATAGATACATTAATAAACTCTGCTTTGTTTTTCAGTCATTCCTTGTCTCCCTGCCAAGTAAATCCAGGGCAGAGATAAACAGTTTTGTCAAAGTAGGTAGAACCTTGCTTTGATCTTTCTGAAGGCAGCAGCAACCTCTTAAAACACTCAGCCCATCAAACTCCTTTTCCTATTCCATCTTTGTTACATGTAAGGTAACATGTCTTTCTGCAGGAATAGAGCTGCTGTACCACTTACACTTAAAAACAAATAGTCCTGAACTATCATTAGAGTGGTTCTGTGCTAACTGCTCCTACATGACAGTATCAAATTCTGTTCACTCAAAAATTGCAATCTGATGCTCATACTCCTTAACAGACCAACTTATTTTACAGCAACTTCTCATGCAGTTGTTGTCCTACAAGTAGAGTGGGATATGCATACAACAGACAGAAGTTGAATTGACCAAATCTTCTCTCAAAAATCGCAATTAACAGTATCAAGGAAATTACTGTTAGAACTGGTAACAAATTAAATTATTTACGTGCTAGAATCAGCCTCATCTTCAACTCCTTCAGAAAGGTGGTTTCCCATCTTGCCACCAACACCTGACTCTTCAAGTTTGTGTTCTAACAAAAAGTAAAGCAAAACAATACCTTAATAAAGACAGTTTGGGCATGAAAATGCAGACTCTTCTATACTGGCTGTCAAGTCAGAATATGAGAATAAAAGATGACATTTGAAAAGCTTTATAGAAGCAGAAAGTATGGGATTCACTGCTACAGAAATAATGGATTGGGTTTGGATGAGTTACACCTGTTGCAGAGTAACCTTACTCAAAACACTGCACTTAGGAGGAGCATCATTCAGGCCTAAAACTGTACCACTGCCATCTACTACATTAGTAGAGCTATTAAATAAATACAGCTTTCTGTAAGTTATCAAAACATTTATAATCTTCACCTTCATGATGGCCTTTTATGTTAGAGTGCTGACCAGCTTTGTCTTCTTTTTCTTCTGTTCCCAGAAATGGTAAAAGAGTTTTCAGCTCTTCTTCATTGCTGTCACTGAATTCTGAATCGCCCATGCTGACAGAACTTCTAAAACAGTCAAGGTACCAATGAGAAAACTGCATGTTTTACATTAAGCAAAAATGCTGACCATAGTTGGAGATGCAGTATTTATGAAATTACATTACAGCACATGATATAACTGGTACAAGTGCATACCTTGGTATGAGTCAGACAGCTGGAGTATCAGTTTTAATTGATCTCTGATGCAAAAGAAAAAAAAAGATTCCCAAATAATTTGTTAAAATAATTAACTCTGTAATAAAATACTCCTTCAAAAATTTTTTTTTAAATCTACTTGGGCAACCACTTTACTCCAGAAAAGGGAATGAGTCAACAGAGGTACTGACACTTGTTCCTTACACAGTTCTGCCTGTTAAATGCTTAAAAAATTTTGATGCAATTTACTGGAATTCAGTAGATGCTGTGTGTCATATAAAATGACTTATTACCACATGGTTGATCATTTCAAGATCTTACTCATGTAGAGGCTTGTACATATGATTAATTTTACATTCAAAGCAAGGCCACTGACTTCTGTATTATGTAAATCCTTTTGGAGAATTCAGATAAACATYAACTGGAAGAGAGTATCTTATTTTTCTGATTTAAGGAACAGAAAGGGTATGCTGTAGCATTTCAATCACTTCTATTCATCACTTGAATAGAAGTGATAAAAAACACACCAAAACAGAATTCCTACACAGGGTTATAGTTGACTTAAAAATACTCTGTTAGTTAATGGTACAAAGTTAGGACAGACAATGTGCCATGAAACAAGTTGGAGCTAAGTAGGAGAGAACGGAAAGAACAATTTCTTCAGCTGCTATTCCAGGTAAATACGGATTCACACGCATACATCCCAGAGCCTGTGCTCAGGATCCTCAGAGGTTTGGGGTGTTTGATATCCAGGCAGCTGGGCAGGAAAATACTTTCGGGAAATAACTTGGGGGAAAAAACAGATTGGAAATGGTATCTGCACCGCTTTATTTTACAACCAAACATAATAGGTGATTTTTTAGATTGTGCAGGAATGGTAATGAAACTTTCTTTACTAATATACTCATACCCAAGACAAATCTGTTGATAAAAAGCACCTTTTCAGCTTTTAATAGTGCATTAACTCTTTCGCTAAGGGGATGAACTCATCTAATCTTGACCAGCAGGTAAAGACTGAAATCACCAGGTAGCAAGTCCAGCAAAACATTTAAACTCTGACATAAAAGTAACACAAAATTATAGCAATGTAGCGATAATAGCTGCAGTACCTTCTGATAAGTCACTCTGTGGCCAGGAGAAGGAACACAAATTTAGATGCAATATGCCTGTGGTTAAATTAKGCAAAATCTACCACATAGTTACAAGCAACCAGTAAATAAAAACACAAAACAAAACCAAACACATGCCGGACAGCCAGCGGGTTCCAAGGCCAGCCTGCCCCACCAAAGTGATACCCTGCTTCGCCGCGGGGAAGGTATTGGGCCGGGTGGGGTGGGATCGGAGCGGTTCGGTCCGGTCCGGTCCGCCCGCCGCCTACCTCCCAAGCGGCCTCGGCGTCCGTTGGAGCCGTTGTCACGGCAACGGAGCGAACCACCCGTGGCGCGCGCGGCGGGGCTGCCCCGGGCTCTGCGCACCCCCACGCGACGCGCCGCTCTCCGCGCCGGGAGCCGGGGAAACGCGCGAGGAGCAACGGGGGCCGCTCCTGGAAACGGCTCCACGGGGGTTGGGAGCCGCAGCTCTATCCAGGCCCATCAATTGCCAACTTCTGAAGCGGCACAAAGGTCGGTTCATGAGGGGCTCCCTAGTAACAGTTCCAAGTGTGCACRAAATCACTACGGGAAAAAGTATTGAGGTGATAGTCTAGAACTTGTTCGGTAAAGATAAATGACCGCATTCATAAACGCAAGTTGGCTGCAGTATTGTGTGTGTTTCTCAGAGGAATGTTCTGAACAATTGCACGTTTGCTACCATGCATTCAGTGATTTTTACCTTTCCTTTAGTTTTCCCTCCTATTCTGTGTATTAGTTTGACTACTTGAGGAACAGTGTAGCTAAAACTCACAGAAAAGTAGAATCTTATCCCATTATTCTTGACACTAAGTGTCATGCTATAGAAATTGAGAGATTTGGCAATTCAAGGTGATTCGTATAAAAAGATATTGGGTCACCATTTTTTAAGCAAAGCTATATTGAAGTAAACACGGATCTGCACATAGAGACTGAAGGCAGTTTTAAAGCCTGCTATTATTTACAACAATGGCCTCTTCATTGTCCCACACTTGTGTTACAGATCCTCCTTCTTTTGAAATACGTGGATATTCTTAGCTCAGTACACACTAGGAAATCTTGACTTTATGTCTTCTATTCATATTGCATAAGAATAATAAAATACAGACATTTTCAAGATGAAAGCTGTAAGATATAGGGTAAAAATAGTGTGTGATTAACTGTATAAGTCCCTCTGCAGATCTAGAATAGCTATAATTGTTGTTGACTCTGAAGCTGCTTGTGCTCTCACCCTGCTAAAATCAGAACGTAAAAGATTGCTGATAAGTAACCAGGTAGATTTCTGTAATCTTGTTGCACAGACGCTTTGCTAATCAGGGAAAATACAGGTAAAATGGAGGACATACCGTTTTGACACTTAGAACTGTTCAGTCCACTTTCATAACAATGAAAAAACAGCAATTTGTAATTTTAACAATTAATTAATGTTTGTTTAATCTCTGAATTTCCTAAAATCTTAAACAACCCTTTAGTCAAAAAGACAAGCTGATCAGTGACTTTGCTGTAAATCATAATCTAATGCAGTGGATTATTACCCCTGATGTAGCCAGGGACACAGCGTTGAGAGGTGATTCAAAATTTAATTGTCGTTTTGCAGGGATTATTGATACAGCGTTTACTCTGGAGCAAAATTCTAACTACTAAAGCAAGTTAATACAGAAATATGAGGTGTCTTGGAAGTGAGATTTTATAATTGCTCATTGCAGAGTGCACACTGGCACTACACCTGACTGCATGGTCTCCTAGCCGCACTACCAGAGGGGATTTTATGTGAGATGGGTAATTTCTGTCACTGGGGAAAGGCGATCTAGATTTTCAGCTCCCAGATAGATGTGAGAAAAGGAAACATATGTGCAGCCCCACTGAAGCTGCTAAATTTTGGTTCCTCAGACAAGGTCAGATCTTCCAATTCACAATTTATATCCATCAACTTTAAGTCAGTGAATCCATTCCAGCTTTAAAATGCCAGAGATTTACCAAAAGTCTTTCGTAGATGTGACTATTTGAGATCCTGTAGGCACTGACCAGAGACTCTGAGGTACTCTGAGGTATCCAAGTGAGTATGCATAAATTAAAAACCTGCTGTTTTCTTCAAGTGGAGCTAAAATTAGAGGCATTTCAGTGAAGTTGCTTTAATACCAACTTATGATCAGTTTTGAAACATCATAGAGCTGGACAATCATTTGCTATATGATTACATACTGTGTTTCTTTTGGCAGTTGGTATTTCTTTTCTGAACGTTTCCAAGGTGACAGGAGCTTATATATGGAGATTACTAGCTTTTAGGCGGGAAAAAATGCCAATAATGGAACTTAATTTTTTTACAGAAGAAAAGAAAAAGAAAAAAAAAAACAGAACTTCTTCCCTATTCTATCATATGGATCAATGCTTGACTGTAAACAGTGACAAAACGTTGGTAAGTGTCTTATCAAAGAGTCATTCCCTGGTGTTGCCAACGGGGGTSGGCAAGCCTCATTCGCTAGCTGGACTGACCTGGGGTTGTCCTCACCCCAGGGCCCTGGAGCACAGTTATCACTATGGGGGATGCGGCAAAATGGCGATTATTGCGCAGTTCAGTCTGCCTA